GTGGTGAAAAAAAATGCCAAGAAGATTCATATCCAAAATGACCCTAAAGGTTGAAAAATACCTGCTAAAGATGACAGAACAGTTTTTTTTGTTTTTTTTTTTGTGGTACACGGGCCTCTCACCGCCGCGGCCTCTCCCGTTGCGGAGCACAGGCTCTGGACGCGCAGGCTCAGCGGCCATGGCTCACGGGCCCAGCCGCTCTGCGGCATGTGGGATCTTCCCGGACCAGGGCATGAACCCGTGTCCCCTGCATCGGGAGGCGGACTCTCAACCACTGCGCCACCAGGGAAGCCCGACAGAACAGTTTTTAAAAAATACGTTTAGAGCAAGAAGAGCAAGGATAGGATAGACATGCAACTCATGGAATAATATCGAATGACTGTATCTTTTTTGTGAAAAAGAATGATTCTAGACTTAAAAGGGTAGTCAATATCATAACCATAAATTGAAGCCTAAGATAGGCAAGGTGTCCCTAAGAAGGCACTCAACTGTTCTAAATGAATTAAAATTACATTGCAGAGTGGTGAGAGGTCTTGTGGATTGGATGGCCCAGTCACAGTTGCTAAAGTTTTGGGACTGTGGTATGGGTGACGTATGTCAGAAGACTGGAGACCTTAGTATTGGCTTTGGTTTTGAAAAGGGACAGAAAGCACATGGGGTCCTTAGATTAGGCAAGGGACATCATGTTGATTGAGTGCAAAATCCTAAAACAGGTTATTAAAAGGATGATTTGTTAATGCTTAAGAAAAAAGTAGTAACCGTCAGAAGGCAGCATAAATTCTCTAAGAACAAGTCATGTTAGACAAATCTCATTTCATTTCTATTTTTGATATCATTATTGGATTGGCAGATCAGTAAAAATGTAGGCACTCTATATGGATATCAGCAAGGCATTTGACAAGGTCTCTCATGATATGCCTGTGAACAAGATGGAGAAATGTAGGTTGTATGTTAGTAAAAGAATGCTGCCTGATGGATAAATGTCAACCTGCTGGGAGGTTTCCAGTGGCATGCCACCAAGCTCTGACCTTAATATTATCCTATATAACATTTTTATTAATGACTTACATAAAAATGAGGAAAACATACCTAACAAACTTACAGATGATACAGTTATGAGAGCAATAGAATGCAAATATTGGGATGGCCAAAAAGTTTGTTCGGGTTTGCAACATCTTTTGAAAAACCCGAACAAACTTTCTGGCCAACCCAATACTTTGGATGGCAGAATTAGAATTCAGCTACATATCCACAGGTTAACAAGATGAAATCAAATTAGGCCAAATCAAACCTCTAAACCTATTTACACCTACATCTTCCCAATCCCAAACACACAATTAAAATACCCACCAACTCTATAATTATAGAATAACTAAAATGTGGCTTAGCCTCAGAACTCGTTTAAAAGTTTTAAGAGTTTAGTTACTTAATGTTTTCGGTGTGTATCAGTAGTGTTATGTGTTCACCAAAAATGCTGATATTGGAGTAGATGGCATTAAGAGAAACTTTTAGTTAGAACCGGGGAGACATCTGATTGTTGGTCATAGCACAAATTCCTGAATGAGTCAGTCAAGTTGATTGTCTGCTGAGACTTCCATCTAAGGTACATCAGATCTGCTCCCAGCTCTTGCTCAGGGGCAGCCATAGGTGTCCATACTGTTGCTTTTTAAATCACATGATCTTTCTCTCCCCTTAGTCTCAGCTGACTGAGAGAATAACTGACAGGGCTTGCCAAGAAACTTCAACACTGCCTGGTACAGAAGGGATGACCTGGGCTAATCAAATTCACTCTCTTAAGGTTTTTTGTTTTGTTTTGTTTTGTTTTCGGTACGCGGGCCTCTCCCCGCCGCGGCCTCTCCCGTTGCGGAGCACAGGCTCCGGACGCGCAGGCTCAGCGGCCATGGCTCACGGGCCCAGCCGCTCCGCGGTATGTGGGATCTTCCCGGACCGGGGCACGAACCCGCGCCCCCTGCATCGGGCAGGCGGACTCCCAACCACTGCGCCACCAGGGAAGCCCCTCTTTTAGGTTTTTAAACCTAGAACTAGCAGGAGAATTAGGCAGGTAGCAATGGAGCAGGCGGTGAAGGGATAAAGTAAGAGGTGCTGGGAAGTATACTTGGAGTCACGTAGTGCAATGAAAACCTGACATTGCTATGAGAAGGTAGAAACTACGTGGTAGACAAAAGAAATATTAAGCTGGCAATAAGCTATTGGGCAAAGAAAAAGACAGAGAGTGGCAAAACTGCAGAGAATTGCTGAGTCATATCGGTGCCAGAGATCTATAGGCCTTATCCTTCCTTGTGGGTTGACCAGTATTTCCTGGGTTCCCAGGGAGAGATAACAGTCTTAAAAAGATGTTCTCAATTATTTGAGGCAATCTGAATGATCTCTGCTCGTTTCAACCAAAGAGCCTAATAACCTATACCTGCATTTAACCTTGGCTGTGACACTTCAAGAGCAGTCTGGACAGACTGAAGTATGTTCTAAGGGAAGAGACCTTAGATGGAGGATTGAGGATTGATCCTCAATCAATGGAGGATGGAGGATTTGAAACCAGTTAATGTGAAGAGCAAGTGAAGGAACTGAGGAAACATTTAGTAGAGAAGTATCAGCAACAGTGAAGGGCTGTCAGGTGTGAGAGGGTTTTTATTTATTTTGTGAGACCCTAGAACTAGACCTGGGAGGAATGGGTAGAGTTAAGAGGTGGGAGATTTTGGTTCAATAAGACTCTTCCGGTAGTTGTCTGAGATGAAATGGAATGCCTTAGGAATGAGTCCATTCCTTATTTTGGAGATATTTAGGCAGAAGCAGGTAACCACTTAGTAGGCAGAGCAAGATTACCTTTAAATTCTATAATGCTTTATGATGTATGAGGCACATTCTGTTACACTAGCTTGATCTTCTTAACAATCTGTTGAGACAGGCATTTTTATTTATTTATTTATTTTTTAAATCGAAGTATAGCTGGCTTACATATCCATTGTTTTATTTATTTATTTTTTGGCCACGCTGTGCAGCAGGCGGATCTTAGTTTCCCAACCAGGGATCGAACCTGTGCCCCCTGCATTGGGAGCGTGGAGTCTTAACCACTGGACTGCCAGGGAAGTCCCGAGACAGGCAATTTTATATTCATGTTTACAGATGAGGGAGCTGAGGCTCAGAGCGGTGTGTCACACAGCTCATAATTAAGTGCCAGGGTACTCACAGAGTTACCTTCTATTGACTACATGTGAAATGAACACTGTAAAGGATACATTTGGAAAATCCTTGCTGATCAAGCTGATAGGGTTTCTAGGTTTTTTAAAATTCAACTTTGTGACGTTGAATATATTTTCAAATGTACTAAAAAGGTACTCTCTCTCTGCTCAGTCTCACATGAAAACTTATGTTCTTCTCTGCGTCTTATGAAACTGAGACCAATTAATACATTCCTTGCATAGATACAGAAGGTCCGTGGGTGCAGTTTGTACAAACATGCCTAGATGTACATTTCAAATAAGAATAGTTTTCTCTTCCCATTTGCCTCAGCCCATTCCCCACCCTCCTTCCAGATTTCCTGTTATTTGGCTTCTTAGATGAAAGAAGTGTGTTTGCTTATCAAGATTGCTAGTTATCCAGATTGGCCCACTGCTTTCTTAGCTATCACTAGGCCCTGCAAAGGAATTAAAAGAAGAGTGAGTAAATCAGCACTGTCAGTGAAAACTCCTTGAAGATATACACTGCTCTCTGCTTCTCTCACTTCATTCACTTCCCTGCCTTTCAATTTAAAAATCAAAAAAAAGGAACGATACACAAACCTTATCACTAGCACAGTGATAATTCAGTTATCTTCACCGTAGGTGCTGACCGCTATTTTACCTCTTGGGAAAGATTAGAAATATCAGTTTATGAAACTATTTAATCTAGTTAGTGAGGGATGATATAGAGTTTCCTGGATTTGGGCCATAGTGCCATCAGTTTGTTGGTGGTGACATATTTCTGATGCTATGGTTGGCATTTAAGTTAATATGCTGCTAAAGAAAAATAGTCTTATAATGTGAGTTTATTAGTCTTCCCCTTTCCATTCCAATTCTCAGATTATTGGGATAGAAGTTGATCAGAGTTGACACCAGACATTGCTTATGAAGTGATATATTATACCCACAGTGTTTACACACAAATGTGTTTAGAAAAAGCTTTGGTGGTAGATCTAAAGACGACATATAGAAGGGGAAGTCCTTCAGTTTAACAAGATAACAGAATACTATGTTTTATTAGTTAATGTTTTTCTACTTTAATAGAAAGTTGTAATTTTTGACTTGAGAGAGTAACTAGAAATGATGAATAATTTCTCAATTAATCGCATCTAGTGCTAAAGTCTATTATGATCAAGGCACATAGAACTGTGGAGGAGTAGAACTTTAATCACCTGACAAAGACTTGAGGAGGAATCTGGAAACCTAATATATGAAGCAACAGAAAAACAGAGGCAAACTTTTTGCTCAAAAGATCAAACTTCATCCTAAAGGCAGAATCAAGTTTTTGAAATTACACATGGACTTCCGATGGAGCAAATCGTTTTTAAAAATGTTTGAAGGCAACTTACTTTGTCAAAGAATCTTAAAATAAATAAAATGTAAACTATCGCTGTTCCTCCAATTGTGTCTGGATTTTCCTGTAATATCGCAGCATCTGAAAACAAGGGACAAAAGTCTTTTCCTTCGAGGATACAATGACAGTTTGGGTAATTGCTTGGTTTCCTATGTTTTTTGTGGGTGTCCACCATAGGGGTGTTGATGCATCTGTGGTTTCCTCTTTACACGGGCGTCTGTTTTGGTCTGTGGCTGTGCCTGGATCTAGATTGTGTGCCTGTGGAGGGGTCTGCCTTTTTGCCCAGGCATCTGGGTGTGTATCTGTGTGAGTCTTTGTGCGTCTCTGCAGATGTCTATGCGTTTCTGTACTCAGTGGAATCATCCTGTGCCAATATTTAAGTTCAGTGGGATCAATAATAGCTCAAGTACCTGGTCTCCAACGGAATGTTGCTATTCAAGACCCAGCTGTTATGCAGATGAACTGAATCCTGTGTACTGGTTGGGGGAGCTGGAGCGGCTGGGCTGGGCTGGCTGCGGGTAGTCATTGATCTCCTCTGGAGAGAGTCAGCGGCAGGGGGCGGCTTCCTGGCGCAGGTGCAGGCGTGCGGAGGCGGTGGCGGCGGCGGGAGGGGTCTGAAGGTGAACTGGTTGTGTGAGCTGCTCTGCATGTCTAAAGAGGAGAGAAGGAGAAAAACACAAAATAGACACAGACTCTCTCACTTGGCAGGCAAGAAAACAGCACGGCAGACTTATCAGGATTTCAGAATAATATAACCTGTGGGGTGGGGGGAGAGTCTGAAGTTCAGTCTACTTGTAAAAATGTCACTTAACTTACAAAAACACGTGCAGCACGCTTATGAAATGTAAAACATTCACAGTCGCATTTACATGTAAATTCTTCAGGGCTATAGCAGCTCAAAAGTAAATGAGGCCGCCTCACACAATTTGTCATCGTTTCTGCTACTGAACAAATAAATCATCAACAAGACACTGAATTACAGAACAGAAGTGAGCCGATTTCCATCGGTTGCAAAAGTCTCACTTCGGAAAACACCAGTGAAAGGGACAAATTTGTTGCAAGGAAGATCATTCCACACTTCAAATAAAAGTATAAGGCCACCTTCTAGCTTTCCTCAGGAAAGGATGCTACTAGCCTGCCTACATGGGAGCAAATCCATACGTCGGAAAAACAGCTCACGAGTGTGTAACTGAACTGTGTGAGACTAATCTCTCCGCCAGCCCCCCAACTCAGAGTGCTACTTATAAAAGGGAGGCTAGAAGGAGTTTGTTCAGGTTGTTACACATATTTCCATGGCCATGCAAAGCACAGTCCACACTCCACCCACCTTTGCCACACCCTTCTAGAAGCTCTACCATATTAGCTGCAGCTTAGGCAGCAGATAGACTGTTCTTTCTGCCTGTTTGCAGAGGGGGCAGCCTGGGACAGCGGTCCTCAGACTTCTGTTGTTGTTATTGTTTGGTATTTTTCCTCCGTTTTCCTGGCAGGCACACGTACACACAGTAAGTTAGAATTTGGCCCATGAGAAATACCCCAATTAAACCTCTTTGAAAAGAAATCACTACTGTAGTTGATAACCACCTCTCTTTCACGGGAGAAACATAGCAGATGTCAAGTGATTTCTTGTAACACCAACACATTCCAGATGAACTTTGTAGACAGCATGGCTTTGTCCCACCTCCCAAATGACAGAGTTGAAAAGCAGAAAAATGCCACAGACTTTCGATGCCCAGCAAAGGGCTCAGCTGGTTTGTGCTGAGACTCACTTTGCAGTGGCTGATCATAGAAAAAAAAAAAAAATCACTCTTTTCAACCCTTCCACCTCAAACTTGAATTTTGAAGACACAGGCATCATTTTCGTATTTTAAAACGATACTAGTGCCCCAAGAGCATGACAAATTCTTGGCTGTGTTTTCTAGTACAGGTGGCTCTCCCTTTAAATAAGCTTGCTATATGAAGAACGCAACTGTACAAAAGATAAGGAGTGGTGATCATTCATTTTATACAAACAATTCCTATAGAAAGTCAGCTACCCTTGTATATTTAAAAGGAACTAAAATGCTTCATGAATTTTCTAAATCACCCCCATTACTCCAGGCCCAGCCCAAATCCCATATCCACTAAAAATATCATCACAAGTACTTAACATCTAGTTAATTTTTTTAAACCTCTGGGCTCATACTCATAACCTTAACCAGAAGCATGCTTTCCATCCTTGGGGCTCAAAGAAGCATTGAATGCTGGAACCCAAAACACCTGGGGAGACTCTAATTTTGTAGATGAGAAAACTGATGCCCAGAGAATTGCTTGTCCAGACACTTGGCAAGTTAGTGGCATGGCCAAGATCAGAACCCACACCTCCTGACTCTGGCCAATGCTCCGTTCACTGTCTTGCAGATCCCTGTAATACAAGTTCTCTTTACTTCCTTAAGATACAGAGATACAGATTCCTCCACATTTTCTGGGTTCTTCACTTATGACACACCACCTGCACTGCAGTTATTTGCTTCTATGTCTGCTCCCCTCTTAGACCGTTACAAAGGAATGCATACTGGTGTAATGGTGTGCAGCACAGCATAGTGGAAAGGGCACAGAACTTGCAGGTACGAAAAGCCTGGGTTTGAGTTCTGCCTCTACCGTTTAGAAGTTTTACCCCCTCATATGTTAAATGGAGATAATAATCCTTTTTCCTAATAATTAACTTTAATTCATGTAAAATGTGCTCAGACGTAGTATGTCAGTGACTGTCTTTTGAAGGTAGCAGGAGCATAAAATTTTAAGACTGGAGAATTCCTTGGTGGTCCAGTGGTTAGGATTCCGCCCTTTCACTGCTAGGAGTCTGGGTTCAGTCCCTGGTCAGGGAACTAAGATCCCGCAAGCAGCGCAGCACGGTCGAGAAAAAAAAAAAAGAGACTGGAGTTGACCATAGGAATCACCCAGTTCAGCCCTCCCTCATTCCCTCTCCATTTTACAGCTGAGGAACCCAAGGCTCAGAGAGGTGAAGTGATTTGTTCAAAGTCATTCACCTTGTATGAATTTGCCTGCCTACGTCTGATGATTCCCAGCCCAGAACTCTTTGCATTATACTACTCCAGAAAATAAATGACTCTCTTCTCTGACTTCAACACTTACTATTTTTATCATAAAATTGGCCTCTGAGTTTGTAATTTTACAACATTCCCTTGCTATTCCATGTTTTTGTCCTATCTCCCCAAAGGGACAACATGTTTCTTAGAGCAAATCACCTTCTACCTTTCTTGAATGCCACGTAAGATTGAGCACAGTGCTGGGTACAGAGTAAGATACCTAAAAGTGTTTTTGTTTTTGTTTTTGTTTCTTGCGGTATGCGGGCCTCTCACTGTTGTGGCCTCTCCCGTTGCGGAGCACAGGCTCCGGACGCGCAGGCTCAGCGGCCATGGCTCACGGGCCCAGCCGCTCCGCGGCATGTGGGATCTTCCCGGACCAGGGCACGAACCCGTGTCCCCTGCATCGGCAGGTGGACTCTCAACCGCTGCGCCACCAGGGAAGCCCCTCCCTAAAAGTTTTTATTGATAGCAAAGTGTTTCACTGGTCTGTGGGACCTAGAGAACCACCCTTAAGGTTCCCTTGGCTCTTCCGTTCTGATATAGCCACTGGATTTCTAGACAGCTCATAGAGCACTAGGTTTCCCCCTTGGAGGTCTCAGGGACATCTCTCCCAGAGCCATGGGGAAGGACAATGATACCCTGAAGAGGGTGCTTAAAATCATGCCCTCTAAGATGCGAAGAGAGCAGCAGTGACACTCTACAGATTTGTCACCTAAATACATGAACTTAATGATGCAAGGAAGGGAAGCAAAAGGTGGGAGCCCAGAGTTAGAAAGAAAAGGAATCAGTTTTAGGTCTTGTGTTCAGAACACCTTCCAAGCAATACGTGTGACATCTACTAGCCTAATGAGTAGGTGTTTGTCAGTACAGTTGTTCGAAAGAAAGAAAGTTCCTGTTCAGTACAATTGTTCAAAAGAAAGGATCACTCATTATCATTTGGATTTACTGCTTGTTGGATTTCCTCAAAATCTTTGCAACTCCTTTCTAACTATGAAAAATGATAAAAATTCTACTTCATTGAAAAGTACAATCATTCTATTATTATAACATATTATATCATTTCTTCCACAGGTAGTACTGCTTTGTATAGTCATTATGATTATATATATCGATTATATGTATTGAAAACATATATTTTGATTATATATATGTATATTTTTATTTATATCTATTTTATTGTCTATTTTTGTTTCCACATTTTAAATATGCAGAGGTTTCCCTACTTGTTAATACTGTCTTTAAAATTCAGAATATTGGACTGAGTGGAATATATCCGGACCTTAAGCCTTTATGAAATGCAAATCATCTCGGCTTCATTCTTTTTTTCACCTCAAGAAAAAGATGGGGAATGCACTGGTTCCCTCCCAAATGAAGTAATTTAATCCTTGGGCTCCATGAAATGGGACTTCTCAACATTAAATACTAATAAAAAATACATTAGGGTTCAGTGTCAGGAGCTCTAGAACACCAGTTCCAAGGGGTCAAGAGTCACATGCACTCACTTCCAAACGTATCTGGCAACCATACATTTCTGTGCCCAAGGGAGAGACGCAAGGGAGAAGGGGGGAGTAGTGATTATGCAAATATGGGTATCCAGACATACTTATAAAGCTTTCTGAAAGTAAATTAAGTTTTCAGATGGAAAGGTCTAATTCACATAATACACTTGGGTGGGAGCCAGTTTCAGGTTTAAGGTCCTAAAATAACTTGGAAAGAACATCTCTCGGGGGGTGGGGGGGTAGGAGTCCTCCAAACTCTATATCCAAGGCATTTTAGGTGTGGCAGAGCTGTTAACTGAAGTATAAGCCTTCAGAAAAAACATTATCCCTGTTGTCAAAAGGTAAGTGGGAGAAGAAAGCTGTCATGCATAGACTTTTTTTTTTCTCTTTTTCTGCAAATAAACCTTCTTCTGGATCATGTGTTAGAGAAACTTTTCACCAGAAATTAGAATATATCTGCCCAGAAACACTGTGTGGGAACTTCTCAAGGTATCCGCCAGGGTGTTTTACCCCTTTCATTTCATTAACACATATGGTCAATTCAGCTATAAGGTGATGTTTGCATTTTGAAAATTCATTGCATATCACAAAATCATGCATGGGTAAGGGGCTTATGGGAAAAATGGGGTTTGGGCACAATATCTGAATGTGCTTGTGAAAGTGGGTGTCAGAAGGGTTGCAACCTGTGAGTTATTGTGAAGTGGTGGAAGGAGGGTTATCTGAATCAGACAGAAAGTTCTAACACCAGATGTGGATGGGCAAGGCTTCTAATACATGTGGTGAACGAAGATAGCTGGTGGATGTTTCAGATGTAAGCATGTGTGCATTTTGTGTATTCCTCCATGGCTCTATCTGCTGTATGCAGTTTCCTGCACTCACCTAGTATTTTTAACAGATGGATCGCACATATGCAAACATGCAATTTCTCTTACGTTCAAATTGTTCTCAAATATACCGATAGCATGGGAACAAATTAATGTTTTCAAAACATGCACTGTAGCAGAACTGACTGTACAGGCAAAATAACTTTCGGTAGGTGTTAAAAAAAATATTGTCATTAATATGG